GGAGGGAAGAGGAGGAAGATGAAAGAATTAAAATGAAAATTTTTTCGCTGGGTGTGGTGGCATATGCCTGTAATCCCAGCACTTGGGAGGCTGATGCAGGAGAATTGCCTGAGTTTGAGACCAGCCTGGGCTACACAGTGAGTTCCAGGTCAGTCTCAACTACCTAGTGAGACCCTGTCTCAAAAGAAAAAAAGAAAAAAAAAATTTTCTTCTGTAGAATCACATTACTAAATGTTTTAATAATCTGTACTTTTCTAAATTGGAGTCGTAATATATTACTGTTCTGTAATTTATTGTTTTCTCTTAACAAAAAAATTTCCCAAATTCCTTAGTATTCCCAGAATATGACTTCTAATGACTGTGTAGTGTTCTATAATATGTATGTAACTACCCTTTGTGTAACCAGTCCCAAATTCAGTATATTTATAGATATAGACAAAAAGTCTGATTGTTCTTTTAACAAATTCTGTTTCTTAGAATCATTTCTAGTTCAGAAGTATAAACTTAAGTCTTGTTTTTTTTGGTATTGGGAATTGAACTCAGGACCTTGTGCTTGTGAGGCAGGTGGTGGAACCACTGAGCTAAATCCCTGGTCCTAAATTTAAGTCTTGACCTGAATTGCCAATACATTCCTTTCTGGAAGGGAAGCTATAAGATTAATAGATAGATTGATTGGCAGAACTGGAGATTGAACCCAGGGTCTTCTCACTGAACTATATGCCGGGTACCCCCTGCCCTTTTTTTTTTTTTTTGGTACCGGGGATTGAACTCGGGTCCTTGTGCTTGCAAGGCAGGCCACTGAACCACTGAGCTAAATCCCTGGCCCTGCCCTTCTTTTTAGACATAGAGACCTGCTAAATTGCCCGGGCTTGGTTTGAACTTGCTATCCTTTTGCCTCATCTTCCCAGAGTGCTGGGATCACAGGTGTGTGCTGCCACACCCAGCTGCAGTGTGTATTTCTGCCAACAGTTTGAGAGTGTCTGGCTTTTTCTCAGAATAATTTTTGGAACTTCACAAAATTTTTTCTAGCTTACTATTTTTCCCTGTGGAACAAATTAATCTTTCACTTGCTTAGTAAGCATTTATATACTCTTTCTTGCTTCCAGTAAAAATCTTTGTGCTATTGGTGTATGCTAGCTCCTGGGGATCCTATGTGAACATAATTTGTGCTTTGTCTTAGATCTTGGAAGACAGATATATACACAAATTAAACTCAAGAGTAGCTCAGGAACTTGTACTGAGAACAGCCTTTACCTGTGGTACTGGGTTAGGTAATATTTTTTGAGACAGTGCCTTACTTTGTAATCCAGGCTGGCCTTGAACTTGCAGTCCAACTCTATCAGCCTCCTGAGTACTGGGATTACAGGTGTATGCCAGCTGGGGTAGGCAATTTTAATAGTTTTCCTGTTCAACCTCCAGTTATCAGTTTAGGTTTTTCTCTACACAAAAACTGGACATCAGCATTCACTGGTTAACTGAGTTGGGCTTTTGAAAAGCTCTGGGTCAGTAGAATCAAGCTAAGGGTAAGGACAAGGCATTAATACATTTTCTTAGAACATCTTTGTCAGAAGAGTGCTTCCAGAAAAGGATCTGGCATAGTTGTCTGTCCTTTTAACTATTCGCTAATGATTTGTTCACCATCATAAGGGAGATTGCTCTGTCTCAGAAGGAATTGAGCAAGGCAGTTGTTTCCTTTCAGTTTAGGGTTGGTTCTCAAACCTCAGAGTACAGGAGGATATTTTCAGTGGTGCTTTGCATTGTGTTACCTGGCATATGTCCTCTTTTAATTTCTTCGTTTATCACCATAAATTTGCAAACAGCCTCCTAATTTTGTATTTGCAAGTAATCACAAACTGTGTTTCATTGCTATTTTGCTCATTTTAGAATATTGTGGGTAATGCTAGGCCTAAAGAAACAGATCACAAAAGTCTTTCATCATCTCCTGATAAACGAGAGAAGTTTAAAGAGCAGAGAAAAGCCACAGTCAATGTGAAGAAAGACAAAGAGGATAAAACCTTAAAGACAGAAAAGCGACCCAAGCAGCCTGACAAAGAAGGAAAGTTAATCTGTTCTGAAAAAGGAAAGGTGTCCGAGAAAAACCTTCCCAAGAACGAGAAGGAAGATAAGGAGAACATTTCAGAGAATGACAGGGAGTACTCTGGAGACACCCAGGTGGACAAGAAACCTGAAAATGACATTGTGAAGAGTCCACAAGAGAACTTGAGGGAGCCAAAAAGAAAACGAGGCAGACCCCCTTCCATAGCTCCTACTGGTGAGTTTCCCAAGTGGGCTCTGCAGTGGGCAGTGCCAAGGTGGTGTTCTGTGGCCTTTTGTGGTGCTTTGTATCTTCTGTGATTTAGTCTTCTGTGTTTGTGACTTTGTCTTATGCTTTGAAAACAAGTTGTGTGGGTAGAGCAGAATTTAAGTGAGGGATGCATCCAGATGGGCACGTTAGGGAATGATCATCTGGAGTGGTGATTAACTGTCCTCAGCTACTTCAGCTTACATGATAATGCTCATTGAGCACAGATCTTTTGCTTTTGTCTATTCAGATGACCTCAGTTTAAGGAAGCCTGAGATAGGAAGCAGAGAACCAGAACAGGAAGCAGAGTTTTAATGAGACAGACATAAAAGAGGAAATAAGAAGAAAGGTGTAGGCAAGGCTGGGTATATAGCTTAGTGGTAGAGTGTGTGCCAAATACATGTGAAGTCCTGGGTTCAATCCCCAGAACCTGAAGGAAAAAAACAACAATAGTTGTGGTCACCAGAAGGCAGGACCAGAAGAATAGCACATTTTGAAACTGTTAGGCAAGCATTCTACCACTAAACTATACCTTCAGCCCCAAGTAATTTTTTTTATAATGACTACTTGTTGAAATGTTTTTAGATGTATTAATTTAAGTAATATATTGTTTTTTCTTTTGTTTTTGAGATATGTTCTCATTGTGTAGTTCAGGCTGGCTTTGAACTATGCAGCCCAGGCTGGCCTTGAACTCATGGTGATTCTTCTGTCTCAGCTTTTCCCCTGTTAAGATTATAGGTGTGTACTACCATGCCTAGGATAGTTTAATTTATATTTAAAAAATTCCTCCTACCCTCCCTTGCTCCTTCCTTTCCTCCTTCCCTCCTTCCTAGGTGGTACTGGTGATTGACCCAGGGTCTTCCCATTGAGCCACATCCCAGCCCTTTTTTATTTCTTTCATAGAGAATCTTGCTAAGTTGCTCAGGCTAAGCTCAAATTTATGATCCTCCTGCCTCAGCATCTCAGAGTGCTGGCATTACAGATGTGCACCAGCATAATTGGCTAATTTCATAGTATATCTGCCAAAAATTTTAAAAGCACACGTGATTTGCATTTTATTTACACACACACACACACACACACACACACGTATATATATGTTTGTTTTTTTTTTTGAGACAGGATCTCACTATGTAGTTTAGGCTGTCCTTGAACTCGCTACATAGTCCAGGCCTGCCTCAAACTCTTGGCAATCCTTCTGCCTCCGCCTCCCAAGTGCTGGGATTACACGAGTGTACCACCATGCTGGTTTAGGACATTATCTTGTATGTATGATAACCTTGTGTCTTGTAACCTGCTTTAATTGTTATTTTTTTGGGGTGTGGGAAAGGTGTCAGATCTTGGGATTCTGTGCATAGGCAGTCATGTCATCTGCAAGAGTGCTTTTTCTTCCTTTTCATTCTGTAGGACATTTACTTTTTCTTGGCCAATGGATTAAGTGGCTAGGATTTCCTCCTGAGTGCTGGGACTACAGGCATGAGCCTCCATGCCTGACCTCTCATTGTACCTTTTATGGGGCAGTATTGTCCTTAAATTTAGTTGCTTTCAGCTGGCTGGGAGTGTAGCTCAGTAATAAAATGCTTGCCTAGTATGTATGAGGCCCTAGGTTCAATCCCGAGCAATGGGGAAAAAAAAAAAAAGTTTTTTTTAGCTGCTTTCTTGATGGGTTTCTGGGAGAGTATTAAGCCCTAATACCCAAGGCGTTCAGGATCTGTGATTAATAGTGTTCTGTGCATTTAGAATGGTACTTACTGTATGCCACTCTTAGGAAAGCCAAAAAAAAAAAAAAAAAAACCCCAAAAAAAACCTCTGTTGTGTGTTCAGATAAACAACCTAAGATGAGAAAGTCTGGAGGTTTTAAGCCTCCAGTCAGTGTACCATATTATAGGATGAGTGAGAGACAGACCTTTTTATGTAAAGTAGGAAAAGGGCAGTTGTACAAGGAGGGATGGAAAATGTGAACCAGTAGAAATGTGACATGTCACCAGCTCAGCTTAATAAATAGTATGTGTGATGGGCCAGGGATTTAGCTCAGTTTAGATTGCAAGGTCCTGAGTTTGATTCCTGCACTAGGGGAAAAAATAGTATATGTGAGAGACTTGAGTGTTTTGAGACTGATTCCTCTTTAGCTGTTTATGCTATGGATTGTTCCCTGTGGAAAGTATATACTGAGATAGTTGTACCCTAGTTTGCCAACTGCTCCTATGATGCCACATGGCTTCACTCAGATAAGAAAACAAGCATTCACTTTATTGCTTTTATTTGATAAATGTAGGACTTCATGCTAGATGGGATTTAATAGAGAAAAGATGTTTTCCAAGTTCACTTTTAACCCTTGCCTAAGGCATTTGTCAAAACAATTCTATTTCTCAGTCCTTCCCAGTCAGAATCTCTGCATTTGGACCAGGGAATGAAAATTGTTAATAATCTTCCCAGATAAAGGTTTGAGATACACTCAAGTCTATGTAGTCAGTTCTCACTTGTATATCTTATCAAAAGGAAGAAGGCTTGCCAGATGATTCATATATAGCTGAACTGTCCTTTAAAAAAATTTCTTAGAAGAAGTTCTGTGACATAATAGCACCTTAAGCTCCCTGACTTGGTTGGGAACAGAATCTGAACTATTTAGAGAGGGTTCTCTGTATTTGTGTTTAGCTTGTAATGTGTGTGATCCAAGTTCCCACTACTTGAAAAAGAATAACGTTGGCATGTTGGGAAGTTTGAACAAAAAGAGTGAAGAGTGAAGATGGCTTCCTTGGAGCTCAACCTTGTTTCTTTTTCACCCCTTTGATGGCCAACCTGAAGCAGATTAGTTTTTTCTCTCCCTCCCTCTCCTCTTCTGTTTCCTTCCCCTTCTCCCATTTACTTCCCTCCTCCCTCTTTTTTTACTCCTTTGCCTTTCCTCAGGCCTCTGGTAGGTTCAAATACAAATTTCAAAAAAGAATATAAACTCTCCCTCTACCCCTTTTATTTTGTGTGCTGGGGAGTGAACCCAGGGCTTTGTGCATGTTAGGCAAGCATTCTACCACTAAACTATACCTTCAGCCCCAAGTAATTTTTTTTTATAATGACTACATGTTGAAATGTTTTTAGATGTATTAATTTAAGTAATATATTACTTTTTGTTTTGTTTTTATATTGACATCTCCTTTATGATAGGTGTTGTTTGTTTTTTTTGGTACCAGGGATCGAACTCTGGACCTTGTGCTTGCGAGGCAGGTGGTGGCATCACTGAGCTAACTCCCCGGCTCTTTCTTTTGTTTTTGAGATATAACTTTGTGAGAAATCCCTTGGTTTCTTTTTCTTACTAGTTCTGCCTGCCTTTTAAATTCTCATTTTCTTAGACTGGGGGAGAACTTCTAATTTTTAGGCTTAAAAGAAATGCATGAACACTCCCCAAGGGCTTAATTGTCTGTATTGCTAAACTATTTGAGGTCAGGGTCTATTAGGATCCATTAGCCTTGCCTGTGTATCCATAGCAGTGTCCTGAGATTTTTAGTTTTTTTGGGTGAAGAGAGGGATGGTGGTGGTAGTGCTGATAGGAACCCAGGGCCTTTGCCTTGAGCTACCTCCCCAAATTAAAAAAAATTTTTTTTTGGGGGGCTGGGGGTTTAGCTCAGTAGTTCTACCACCTGCCTTGCTTTAAGTACAGGTCCTGAGTTCTATCCCTGGTACCAGAAAACATTTTTTTTCAAACAGAATCTCCCTAAATTTCTAAGCTGTCCAGGCTGGGCTTGAATTTGCCGTTTTCCTGACTCAGCCTTTCAGAGTTCTGGGATCACAGGCATGTGCCACCACTCCCAGCTTCTGGATTGGTTTAAAAGAGTATAAATGTTGACATTCTTTTCTTGACCCTCAAAACTAAAGTCAGTGATGGCTAATTTAGCAAGTAGAGACTGAAAACAGTAACTGAACCCTACTTCTGTGATAATACATTTTAGAATTAGCCTGCATGGTGAATTGAATTTCCTGAGTATTGGGTAGGGTAGGGCAGGGTGTTTGTGTGTGTGTGTGTGTGTGTGTGTGTGTGTCTTTTTTCTTCTGGATAGGTGAATTTTTGGTGGAATTTGATTTTACTATTGTCCATGTACCTTTTTTTAAGAGAAAGTGTCTTGCTGTGTAGTTTAGGCTGGCTGTGAACTCAGGGTATAACCCAGGCTGGCCTTGAACTCATGGCAGTCCTCCTGCTTCAGCCTCCTGTGTGCTGGGATTCACCATGCCTGACACATTCTAATATTTTTAAACAGGTCATATTAGGGTATGGTGCTAAGAGAGGGTTTTAGGAGAGCTCGATCTTAGGAGACACTACAGAAAGATTCAGCAAGTCAGTCTGCAAGGTGTCAGCATTTCCCAAAGGAAGTACTGTCTCATTTCATTTTTTCTTTTATTTTAAGACTGCCCCTTTCCTTTATAATCTAGTGAGAATGCTACATGTGTAATGTAATTTAATATAGAATATAATTTATATATTACAAGACCAGACATTAAAAAATTACATTTTTTTGTGTGGTTTTCTATATGTTGTAGCTGTGGATTCAAACTCTCAAACTTTACAACCAATAACATTAGAACTGAGAAGACGGAAAATATCAAAAGGAAGTGACGTCCCATTAAAACGTCCTCGACTTGACAAAAATTCATGTGAGTATCCAATTTATGTATGTGTGGCTGGAATTTGACATTGTTTTGGTCAGTCTCCCCATCTATCCTTATAGGCTCTAATGATTGACCACATGGACTAATGTGAATGGGGCATTCTTTAATTTGCATTTCACGAATGACCAGTGATGTTGAATGGTTTTTCATATATTTATTTGCTGTTTCTAATTCTTCATCTGAGAAATATCTTTTTATTTCAGATGCCCATTTTTGGATTGGGTCTTTAAATTTGTGTGGGGGGGTCTGATTCTTTTGAGTTCTTTATATATTCTAGGTAATAGTCCTTTATCTGAATAGCTGGTAAAAAAATTTTCCCATGCTGTAGGTTGTCTCTTCACACTTGCTGAGGAAAAGGGACATGCTTGAATTAGGAGTTTTTGCTAGAAGAAACACAGGCTGTATTAGTGTTAGGATCAGTGCTGTCACATTCATTTCCACACTGTTTGATTTGGATTCCTCTAGAAATTTAATGGTTTAGGGAGGAATAAATTTCATATGCTGAGAGAAACTTAAAAAATATTACTTATTGATTAGAAAAATATCCTGTTAGCTTCAAAAAGGATTTGTAATGGCTCTAAATAAGGCTCATATAAACCCTAATTGACTTTGGAAGTTAACATATAGACTTTCATGTTGGGAAGCTCCAAAATAGAAATTAATTGTCAGGATAGGGACTCAGTGATATAAAATTCTGATCTGGTAGAGAGACTTTGCCTTTACTTAAAACTATCAAGTAGAAAAGAATATTTATCTAACATTCCAGAAGTCTATAAGATTGTTACAGAGGCAGCTGGCCCAGAAATGTGTAGTAGCAGAATTATTTGTTAGCCTCTGGACTACAACATTCTTAATGCTTTTTTAGCCCAGGAGAAGTCAAAAAACTGCTCTGAAAAAGACTTATCCAGGAGACGGTCTTCCAGGCTATCCACTAATGGGACCCATGAGGTTCTAGATCCTAACTTGGTTGTACCAGATTTGGTTGATAGAGTTGATGCGAGTCCTCTGCAAGATACATCAGCTAGTACGAAGGAATCTGAAGAAGGTGAGTTAGAGTGTGTTCTGAAATTGTTTTGCCAGCCTGGTGCCTGTCTTGCGAGAAAATGAGAACCAAGTCATTATGTGCTGGCTCCCATAAGTATTAAGTTGTTTTGAAATTAAATTATTGAATGAGCTTCAGTGTTCATATAATAGTATGTTTTTCACTGACTTTTCTTTTTTTCTTTTTTTCGGTACCGGGGATTGAACTCGGGTCTTTGCACTTCACTGACTTTTCATTCAATTGATAAACTTTCGATAAACTTTCTGGATGCATTTGTGCTTGGTTTTGCTTACTTTTGTATGTTGGGTTAGAGGTACACTGCTTGAAGAACCCTGCTTCTCTGTCTTTCTGGTGTCATCATCTCACTCCATGCTTCTTCTTCTTTTTTTTTTTTTTGGTGGTACCAGGTGGAACTTGGGTCCTTGTTCTTGTGAGGCAGGCCACCGAACCACTGAGCTAAATCCCCGGCCTCCATGCTTCTTTTTATTGTCATTTCTAGGAATTTCTCCTTTTACTTTAGCCTCCTTTGAGATATTCTCAGCCCTGGCTATATGTTCAGGAACGTGTGAGTGTATTCCTGTATGTTGTAAGATGAATAGCTTCCTCTAACAAGTCCCTGGCTTCCTTAGTCTATTATTGGATTTTTGGTTTTCAGATTTTATACATATATGTGTTTCCCAAGCTTTCTTTTTTTCTTCTAGGTCAGTTGAAATCTGCCTTAGAAGCTGGCCAAGTCTCATCTGTGCTAACTTGCCACTCCTTTGGGGATGGATTAGGGGCTGCAGGCTTGGAATTGAACTGCAAATCAATGGGAGAAAACACTATGAAAACAGAACCGGCATCTCCTCTTGCTGAATTAAAAGAGATATCGGCTGTAGAAGGTTCATATTTAGAGTTAACCCTCTCCCTCCCCTTCCCC